TTGGTGGCTGAACTGTGGGCGTTGTATCATGGTCTTAAGCTAGCTCAATGTTTGCAAGTGACAAAGCTTATTGTTGAAACTGATTCTACTCTTGTTTTGCACCTTTTGAATGCTAAGGTGGAGCCATATCACCCCCTCCTTACTTTGCTAAACATGTGCAGAGTCTATTGGAAGAGTTCCTGGGACTGCAGCATCTTTCATGTTTTCAGGGAGGTTAACTTTGCTGCTGACTCTCTGGCTAAGATGGGGCATGAGATGGAATTGGGTGTTCATTGCTTTGTTTTGCCTCCTGGTGGTATTACTGGTGTCCTCCAAGAAGACAGGGATGGCCTTTTAAGGTCTAGGTTGATTTATGTTTAGTTGTTGTTTGGGCTTAGCCCTCTTTGTTACCAAAAAAAAAAAAGATGAGTCCTCTGAATACATACAGACACCAAGGACATTACCGTTAAAATGAGGACGAGCCCTGAATAAAAGTGGAACCCATGGACCGCTTTACCTTAACTAAGTTTTTAAATGTCACCATCCATCCCAGGTAGTCCAGCTTAAGGTTTTCATTCTTATTTTGGAACTTTTTAAAACCCATAATAACTTCTATATTAGTGATTAATGTGAGTATTATATAAATATTTTTAAAAATACTTTCGTGTTCCGTACACTTCTCTCAAGTAGCACCCGATTACTTTTATTCGGATTTCTGTGGGGTTAGACCATCGGAGAAGGAAGATGACCGGGTAGCTCTCACTTCCAAGGGATTGAGATTGCCTTCCATTCCATGTGGTAAACTTCAACATCTTGAGACATGTTAATGTTCTTCCTGCAGCTTTTCTTTGATTACCATCGCCTTTTTTTTTTTTTTTTTTTTTTTTTTCATGTCAAATAATTCTTATCTTTTCTTTTCCTTTCCATTTGTTCACCCCAAAGAAAGGAAAAATGAACTAGCGGAAAAGCAAATATTTTCTTTTCCTTTCCATTTGTACAACAGAGGCCAATAGGCCCAACCACAACTAAGGAAAAATCAAACAGAAGAGGCCAAGGAAGGAAATGATTAGAAAAGGAACCAAAACTCTGCAGCAACAAGAGGGGAGCCAAGGCTTAACCATTCTGCAGAAACAAGAACTAAAATTCTGCAGAACCCGGATAACCAAGAGCTGGGAAACTCGAGTAGCCAAGGACACCAACCAATGCCTTAACCATTCATGCAAAACAGAAAATTAGCTGAACTAAGCTTAGGCTTCAAAAAGATAGTCTGAGGGATGGTTTTAGGAAATCACAGAACAAGTATATTCAAGCTCTCACAGGCAGAAGTATTCTTTCGTTGGTTTCATTTGACTTAGAGAATAGTCTAAAAAGAAAGAGAACAAAAGACAGAATTATAAGAAAAAACTGTCTTACATAAGGCAGAAAAAAATAAACTGATCAAAATACTTACGGTTTACAAAATGTATAAGAATATAAAGTATGTATACATACAATCTAGGTTCTAAGCCTTCTCCTCATCATGGTCATGCACATTATTCGCATCACATAGAACCTATCTTGTACATTGTCTAGGAATTGGAAATATCTATATCGCCAAGCCGTCTTTAAAATTAAAGAACCACATACTCCCCAAAATCCTACAATAAATCCAAACACAAAGGAAATAAAAAACCATGGAATTTGATGCTCATTGTCCACATCTTGGTTGTTCTTGTTATCTGCATCACTGCCATTAACTAGTCCACACTCATTTGGAAGCGGGGCACCGCAAAGTTCCAGATTCCCCTCAAATGCAGAGGCATTGAAACTTTGCAGCTGAGTGCTTGTTGGTATGGGTCCTTCAAGATCATTGTATGAGACATTCAAATATGACAAGAAGTTAAGACTCTTGAGTGAATTTGGAATTTTTCCAGTCAACTGATTCATGGAGAGATCCAATGTATCCAAGTCCTTGAGGTTAGATATTTGGTCTGGGATTCTGCCAGAGAAGTTGTTGAAGCTAAGATCTAACTTACGGAGAAGCCGCAGCTGGCCAATCTCAGTAGGTACATTGCCACTTATGCTATTGTTGTATAGGTATATAGATGGTGGAAAATAAAACAAATAATTGTACTGTAAAGCTTTCAAGTTGTCACGCAATCGGATGAAGATAGGCAGTTCAAGGTAATTATGATCTACTTGAGCTGCAGATCGTTCAGATAGCAACATTGCTAGTCTACAAAGTTGCTTTGGAAATTCACCTGAAATGAAGTTGGAGCCTAAGTTGATATAAAAGAGCCTTGGAAGAGTCCCTAACCAACTAGGAATTGATCCTGTGAGTCTATTAAGATCTAGGTTTAAGATCTCTAGCTTCTTGAGCTTAGATAACCATACGGGTATTTGACCAGTCAGCTCACAACCACACAAAGACAATATTCGAAGATTTTTAAATCCATCAAAACCAACCAGACCATCATCAGCTGGAATTTCCTCATCTATAAAGCTGTAAGAAAACGTTATGAATACGAGGCTTTCACAACGCATCAATATCTTCATTACCCCTGTGATGTTGGTCCATTTGTTGCCACTAAGCGACAGGAAGGACAAAGATTTCAATGAAATAATCTCAGGCTGAATTTGCCCCTCTAGATCGTTTAAGCTCAATCGAATTGCTTTCAGGTACTTGCATGAGTAAAGGCTCACTGGAAAGGTGCCAGTGAAGTTGTTACTCCATAGGTCAAGCTTACTAAGTTGACTAAGTTTGGAGAAATTAAGTGCCGAGATATCTCCTTCCAAGTTGTTGTCTCCAAGATGTAGTTCTATGAGGTTTGTGCAATTCATCAAAGTTGGGGGCAAAGAACCTTCAAAATAGTTGAGAAATGAAGGAGGATGAGTTTCAACTTAGAGAGCTTTCCAATATGGAAAGGCAACACACCACTCAATTGGTTATAGTAGAGGTTAAGGATTGCAAGGTTGGTGAGGTTGACAATTCTATCACTAATGGTTCCATGAAGCAAATTCACATGTAATACAATCTCTTGAAGAGTGGTAGCATTATAGATATCTTCTGGAAGTAATCCTGAGAGGTTATTGTAGCTGGCACGAAAAACTTGTAGTGTGGAACACTCCCCTAATCCGCGAGAAATATTGCCAATGAATTTATTGTAGGAAAAATTGTCACGCCCCGGACCCGGGGGTAGGCGGAAACCCCGCGCCCGGTGCGTGAGTAAAATAAAAATAAAAAGAAATACAAAGAAGGGTTTAAAATAAACTTTTGTTATAAAAATAGTTTCAAAAATCTTACAACTTTACAAATAATAAATAAAGCTCTATCACTCTCATCTAATTCATCCTCAACTGGTTTAGTCCTTGTCTTGCCCACTAATTCATCTGAAAAATTAAACATGGTGAGGGATGAGCAACCACCGCTCAGTGAGTAGATTATGTAATATGCCAGTCAAGCAATGCCGTTTTACACACTCTAGAAAATATAATGAAAAGATACACCAATCCAGATCATATCACATCATCCCTTCATATCTCGGTTATCCTTCATAGCATGTAACCAACCACGTGATCCCTATATTGGCTTCACTGCCCTATGTCCCCGTGTGGTACATCTATCCCTCGGATATTCCAACATTGAAGTTCTCATGTTCCATGAATAATACATACTTCATATTCCAATCAATATATATATATAGTGTGAAAGATTGCACTAAATTAGACATGCTTGACTTGAAATAGAGAGATATTTGTAAATAGAATAAATCCACGATAATTCATGGTTTTCATATTTTATCACAAAATAAGAACTTTTAGAACACATTACATAAACCACTCACCTCGCTAATGAGAACCCTTTAAATAAATTGGCAAGACAACCCATCTACCTATCTTCATATATTACCACTCAACCCAAGCTCCAAGAGTTTCATCACCTCTCTCTCTCATTGCAAGTTTGTTATCTTTGGAAGTAGTAGTAAATAACTTGTAAGCTTCCTATTTATACTAGAATAAAGTCGGCAATAAAACACTTCCTATTGGATGGGTTGATGGCGGTTGATTTATACTTCCTAACCAAGTAATATGTAAAACAGATAAGGAAGAATGTCTTTATCTCTTCCAATTCCTCTAATCCTATTCTTATCTTCTTGGTGAGTTGGCTAGCCTTACTACTTAATAGGTTTCTACTTTGACACGTAATAACAAGAGCTATTTTAAAACATATACATGTATATAATAGAACAAGGTATATATAGTAGAATAATATATGTAATAAAATAAGATATAAATATTTATTAAAAAAATACATAAAACAATATAGATTTAACTATCTATGTTATGAACTAACTATGTAACAAAATATTTAATTTCCCAAAATATAATATATATATATATATATATATATAATTAAGATATAAATATATTTAAAAATACAGGGTTTCACAAAAATCCAACAGCTTGATCAAGGGAGAAGAACGGAGACAAATAAAGGAAGGGATAGGCCCTGAGAATGTGTTGTTGCTTAAATTGAAACTAGTCAAATTCCTAGCTTGTTGGAAGAATGAAGATGGAACCACTCCATGAAAGTGATTGGTGGACAAATCCACAATTTGGATATTAGATGGTAGAGAAAGTGGAAGCTCTCCAGAAAGAAGGTTATAGCTCAAATCGAGGATCTCAAGACAGTTCAAGGGAAAGAAGAATTCAATTTCGTTTGAAGTTGGGCAGTAAAGTGAATTGTGAGAGAGGTTTAGGTGGGTGAGATGTGTGAGATTTCCAAGTGAGGGATGAATGCCTCCCTTGAGCCCCTTGGAGGGTAAGTGTAAACGAGTAACCCAACCATCTTGATTGCAAGTGATTCCCTCCCAATAGCAACAATTGGTCATGGAAGTCCAATTTACATGAGGAGAAGAGAGAGTTAGGAAGAAGGACATGAGAGAGCTCTTCTCAATTTGGTGGCATGCATGATTTGTTGATGCAAAGTAAGAGAAAAAGAGGATGGCAAGGAAGCTAAGAGTCATTTGAGCCATTATGTTGTACAAGCATATATCTTGGTGGGAAGTATGAGATATGGTTAGGTTGCTCTTAGGTTGTATATACATTGGAGGCAAAATGGTTTAGTTAATCAAAGCTAAGGAAAAGCAAAAGAAAGATAAATTATATCATTTTAATTCAAAAGTCATGGAAGATACATAACCCATAATTTTTTATAATATCATTTTATTTTTCAATCTTGTCATGCAAATTTTTTATAATATAATGTTTGACCAAAGATTTGTTAGATACATGATTTTTGGTAGGCGTGTTGAGTGTATTAATATTTAGACTGTTAAAACTTCAATGTCCTCTATAATTATTCATATGCATGAATTTTCGGTGGGGTGTAACTGTCATGTCCGTGTACGTGTTGCGATTTTTCCTGTAAAAGCTTCAAGTCTCCTGCGAAAACTTCAAAGTCTACTTTAGATTCTTTATAGGCTTAATTCCTGAAAGTATAATTAAATCTCACATCATTTTCGGAAGTTAAAGTGTCCCACTCCGTTAGTTGGGTCCTAAAATTGTTCAGCATGTTGAGTGATATAATTTTGAAATGTATTGGGGTGGGTGGGTCTGGAGCTAGGGATATCGGCTGGGGCTGGGCAAGGAAGGATGGGGAGAGATAATGATGGAGACTGGGGAAGAGACAAAAAAATGAAGAAGAAGTTAATTTATTATAATTTTCCATACATGTCATCCATTTCAGCGAAAAAATAGGTCCTACCCGTGCCATGTCATTGTTTTTAATTTATAATTTAACAGACTTGACGGTGGAGGGCAAAGTAAGACGCAAAATAAAAGGTCAAAGAAGCAAATTGAGCCACTTTAACTTCCGGAAAAAATATGAGATTTGACAATATTTTCAAAGCGCACAAGTGTAATTAAGCATTCTTCATACCTATAGTGATTTGGCCTGTGTATCTCTCTTTTTCTTTTATTTTTCTAATTTTGATTGTCCACCTACTTCAACTCCAAAGTACTTTAATTATCGATACTTTTTTCTTGGGTCAACTGAGAACCTTATTAAAAAAAGGAGAAAAACACAAAGGAAAGTGCATACAAAAAAAATCAGAAAACTAAGGCCATCTTCAATCATAGGGCTAAATGTAGTCTAAGGCTAAAAATTTAGCCCTCCAAAATATTAATTTTTTAAAGAATAGTGCATGGCTAAATTTTTCCATCTTTAGCCATGTATGACTATATCTTAGGGCATTTCATATTTTATTATTTTGAGAAAAATTATGGTACAACACTCATATATTCCACAAGTATGCATTGTTTAATTTAATTCAACTACGATTTAGAGACAATATTTTTTAATTTATATATGTTTTTTAAACAAAATGAATTTAAAATATTTAAAAAGATTTTAAATAAATAAATAAATAATAACTTTTCAATCAATGATTTTGACCTCCATCGATCAGAAACCAATTATATATATATATATATTAAAAACAAAACAAATTTAAAAACATTTAAAAAGGTTATTAAAAATAAAATAAAAAACCTAACGGCTAGCTGATATTATTGATGACGTAAACAAGCCTTTAATATTGGCTGTTGGATCTGCAATTGCACGAGATGTTTTGTGCTCTTGCCCACGCGTGATACTTTCTCTTCTTGAAAAGCACATGCGCTGGGACCACAAAAAAATTTGGCCTAGGCCAAATGTGGCCCTCCAAATTTGGCCAATTTTTTTTTTATAGCCAATGGCTGGAGATGGGTTTTGCATTATTTTAGGACTATATTTGCCCTATGGCCCATGGCTGGAAATGGCCTAAACACTAAGGCCCCGTTTGGTTCACGGAATGGATTTGAGGGGAAATCAATTCCCATGTCATTTCCCAAGGAATGGGAATGAAAGATTCCTTTCCCACGTTTGGTAATGTTGGGAAAGTAATCGGGAGATTTCACTTTGTTTCCTTTCCCATGTTTGTTTTGAGTAGGAATGGAAAACAAAATTTGTATAATTTTCCAATTATACCCATATTAAATCAAATAAAAAAAGAATGCATTTAATGATACGTTGTAATTATAAATTGTTCATAGGGACAAAATAGTCATGAAAATTGTGCATTGAATGTTGGCACATTTTCCCAAACTTTCCCATGAGGAGGGAAAGCAAAACCCAAGTTAAGAGAGGGGCATCACTTTCCCCCCTACTTTCCCATGTGCCAGGAATCCGTTTCCCATTCCCGGACTTACCAAACATGGGAAAGCAATTGAATTCCCATTCCTATGCCTCCTTTCCCATGAACCAAACGGCCCCTAAGGCTATCTCCAGTAGTGACTCATAAAATTTAGCCCATCATTTATAGTGTTTTAAGGAATAGTGTTGGGCTATATTTTTACTTCTCCAGCAATGCATGACTAAATCATAGTCCCTCAATAATTTATTAGTTTTTAGTATATTCTTTAAATATATTAAATCCTTTAATTAAGGTACTACTTTAGACCCTATTTACAATTTATTTTAGAAGAGAAAAATATTTTCGAACATGATTTTTGACATTCGTTGTCGGCATGTGATTCGCCCCTACATTTATGATTAGATTTTTTGTCCACATGGCACATCTTATCTTAACGTAATCATAAAAAAATTTAAGATAGGATTTTCGAGTGCCACGTATCTGTACATGATTAGCCCTCTATATTTTTGTTTGTGAAAAGAATCCAAAAGTCACTAGTGATTTGAAATGTCACATCTGTCATGTTTTTAAGCACTTTTAAAATAAAAACAAGTTCTTTGTCCAAAAGTCAGGTGGGTCAAAATCATAGATTCCTCCTCCAAATCCAAAGGTAAAAATCAATGAAAAATGTTTGATTTTTTATTTATATTTTTTAAAAAATCATCTTCTTTGTCAGGGACGGACCCAGGATTCCAAATTGGGGCGGGCAAAATCTTCAAGGTACGACGGTACGAAAAAATTACATGTTAAACTCGACGGTACGAAAAAATTTCATGTTCAACTTAATGGTATAAGTGAATTTTATTTTATGTTAAACTAAGCAAAATTTACATGTTAAATACTAAATTTTTTGTTGTAAAGAGGCAACGTCTGTTTTTCAAAAAATGAAGAAGAAAATACAAGCCTAAATACAACACAAACAAAAAAAAATATTAAAAACACACACTTTCTCTCATAAGCTCTATTTCTCCCTTTGACCGAAAACATTAGTTCTCTCTTATAATAAAATTATATAGTATTCTTTACCAACAAACAATTATATATAGTTTGTTTATTTTTATACTACCCATGCGTGTAGGCCTGCCCAAGCCCAGGGCAAACATTTGTTATTTTTTTATTCCTTTAACTGTTATAAATCCATACGTTATGGGTTTATAGGTTATGGATGCCCACAATAATATCCATCATTATATACATGTAACCTACCAATGTATTTGTACTCTACCAACCAATGTATTTGTAACCTATCAATTATGGGTGGTAGGTGATTCAGGTATCTCTGCTCCTATAAATAGTGGCACCAAATATGAATGAAAGACAAGTTGATTTGAGCAAATTATACTGTCTCTTTCTTCCTCTTATTTCTCCCTACATATTCTCTAGTTTTATAACACGTTATCAGCACGAAAGCTCTTGGTAATGTTCTTCTCTATAGCTTAGTTAATCCATATATATATATATATATATATATATTTTCTTTTATATACAAAGATGATGGCTATTTTTTTTGTGAAATCATGTTTTTGACATGATTTAAATTGCCGAGAGTATCCCCCAATGAATGCATGAACATGTAGTTTTTGTTGTTGTTGTTGTTATTGTTATATGACCACTATTCATTGAAAACTTGTTGACATGCATGTTGTAGCTAATAACACGAGTAGTATGCAATTATCATTATTATTATTATTATTATTCTTTCTTTCTGTTCTCCTTTTAAGTTTTTAATTTATCTTATTTAAACACAATATATTATGATGAGTTTTTTT